TAATCAGACTATTTCTTTATTTATCAAATTCAGGTTCTGGGATTAAAAACTAAAAATTGAGAAACCTAAATGTACTAAAACTGGTGAGTAACTTGTACTTTTTTTTGTTAAAGCCTGAAAAATTAAGATTTTTGTTTTAAGGATACATTTTTACTTCAATGATTTGATAAGGAAAAAATATTTTTTAATTCCGGGTTAAGCCCCAAACCTGCAAAGATTTATGCACAAATTATTTAACTGTGTACTGTGAATAGTCTCATTGAAGTCAGGCAAGTCAGTGCACAAAGTTAAGTAAGTCTGCAAATCTTTGCAGGATCAGAGCAATAGTTTCTAAGATCATTTTTTAAAAGATCATTCTCTTCAGGAGAAGAAATTAAAGCTTAAATCTGGTTTAGAATGATTGTGGAATTGTTCCAGTGTTAAATTTATGGATTTTAATGAAGATGAATTAAATTTGATATGTCTGACTACATTAGATAGCTTTCTCCTACTTATACTCTGGTAGGGACTGTTTATAAATATTAAACATATCTTAGTTACATGACTTTTTTCTTGCAAAATGTATTCTATACAATTATAATTCATCCAGTCAAGTGTAGAGCTCTAGAAATATGCATTTTATAAAATCCAACTAATTTGACTAGGAACAAGAAAAGGGAGCAACTTATCCTTAAACACAATAGTGATGGTATATTATTAAAAATTATGATTTAAAGGGGTCTGTGTTCATTAAAAATGTTAGTGTGTTTTTTTAATGCAATTCAGATCATCCACAGAATATTAAACCTGATTTTGACTCAGGAAAAACTCCCTTTGCCTGACAATGGAGTATAGGATTGGGCCCATGTTATATTCCTGAAGTGTGGGGGTTATTGGGATCCAGGCCCTGACTCTGTTGTTCATATGGAGCTAATACACCCCAAGTTTCTGTAATGGACTTCAAAAATTGATCTTTTTATGTCTGAAAGTCCATTGTACATATCCATGTGGAAGCAAGATAAGAAAGGAAATGCTATGGGGCAATGAGGGAGAGGGAAGGATGAAAAGGGAATATTTTATTTGTGCACACCAGGAACTGGCTATGGGTTCTGGTGGCAGCTAGTTCAAGAAAGCTTCAATCCTGGATAGGACTTTAGTGACTGGGTTTGGGGGGGTGGGGTAAATGCATGCATGTGATCATGTTGCCCTCTAGTGGCTAATCTACAGAGAAGTTAATGAACCTACTACTGGAACTGATCCAATTTCTATTGAAACTAAAGGGAGTTTTTCCATTAACTGTAATGGGAGTTGGATGAGACTATATTGCCATCTGAGAGAGAGCTCTTTTAGACAAAGTAGTAGAGTTTGAAGAGGAAGGACCTGCATTCTAGTTTGGTTCCCTAAGTATGTGACATGCTCATCTAGAATGGATGAGTTTTATTATTACACTGGTGTATCATGTAGCTCAATATTTTTAGTAATTTGAGTTTTTAAAAAAAGCTGTGGAACGACTAGGGTTTTATAGCGTGTGGGTTTTTTAACCCTTTAACAGCTGTGACTTCAACAGTTAGCTCTTCCTCTTCTGGTGGGTTGGAGGAAGAGAGCCATTGCCACCACTCCTGCTCTTTGGGCAAGATGAATAGTAGGCCCCGATTGCCACAGATCCCACTCTTCTGGGGAAGCCCATCTGCTGCAGCTATTAGGCCTTTGCTGAACTGAGGGGAGGGAGCCTGCTGCTGCTATAGCTCCTGTCTAGGACAGAGAAGGGGTCCAGCCTACCACAATTTTCAGCTCTTTTGGGAGGAAAGGGACCCCAGAAATGGCATCTTCCTGCTCCTGCTATCTTGGGGGTGGGGATCCTGCTACTGCTGCTCTTTGGGAAAGTAGACTGCTGATGCCACAGATCCCTGGTTTCTCTTTGTCAGCCTGGGAAAAAGAGGCCCTGGGTCCCCTACATTGACCACAACTCCTGAGTCATGTTCTTTGTCAGCTAGGTCACCACTACCAGTCTGGGCTTTTGGACAGGCTTGTTGGAACTTCTCTACTCTCCAGTGAAATGCTGTTGCTTCTCCAGGTGCAGGGATATACTTAAGGCTTAAATTCTCATATACAATTTCCAAAGCACACGCCTTCCCCGATGCCCTCCCAGTCAGAGCTCTGGACTTCAGCTCCCTGGGGTGTGTCAGGGCTCACCCCATGTGTTAAAAAATATTTACCAGACCTTTTGCTCCAGACAGCTCTGGCTGAATTTAAGTCCTAGATATAAACAGTACCTAATGTATCAGGATAAAAAGGATATTAGAGAGACAAAGTTGGTGAGGTGGTAATATGGTAGGCATAGCTACAATGACACTGTATATACAGGATACACAGCAATGCAATGAAAGCTTTTACTACTGTTTTTAAATGAAGGAAGCATTTCTTAACCGCAGAGCATCTGTTCTGGCCTGTTTGTTAACCCCATTTTTCTGTAAATATTCAATGCAATTTCACTGGACCTGGAGGAAGTGATTGTTTCATCTTTAGTATGATACTGCTGTGGGCACCCAATACTGCTAAGTAGGTGCAGCAGGAGTCATTTTTGTCACACTCAAACACAAAGCATGATTATTAGGCCACTCAGCTCAATTTGAACCTGCTCAGACTCCTAGAAAGAATAACCATGTCTCCTCTGTCATTCTCAGAGGCTTAACACAAGCCCTAATACTCCTCTATTAATATCTCACAATCTCATCTGCACAGTAGCTCATAGGAACATGATACTTATCCTTCTGAAGATCACAGTACAACCTACAAAATTATGACAGGTTTCAGAGGAACAGCCGTGTTAGTCTGTATTCGCAAAAAGAAAAGGAGTACTTGTGGCACCTTAGAGACTAACCAATTTATTTGAGCATGAGCTTTTGTGAGCTGATGAAGTGAGCTGTAGCTCACAAAAGCTCATGCTCAAATAAATTGGTTAGTCTCTAAGGTGCCACAAGTACTCCTTTTCTTTCTACAAAATTATGTTGCACAAATAAAAACTTGGGGCCAGATTTTGCACTCATTTATACCAGCATATATCTTGAGTAACTCTAACTTCAGTTACTCAAAACAAATAAAATATATAAATAAAATCAATTTGTTAGTCTCTAAGGTGCCACACGTACTCCTTTTATTCTAACTTCAGTGGAGCTGCTCTAGATCTACATTGGTGTGACCCAAGAGCACAATTTGCCCCAGTCATGTGTGTGCACTATTCCATGGAAGTGGAATTATTTTGGGAACTTACAAATTTCCTGCAACTCACTGCAAGCCATCATTGGAAGTTACTGGAGAGGTGCACAAGTGAGTCTGCGTACTTTGAATTAAGTCTTGCAGTTTTTGTATGCAAACGGCCTAGGGGAGTTAGGGATCATTAAAGGCTGAGAAATCAGCCCTATACTTTGGAGGACCGCGTTCCCTGTGCTACCAGATATATAGCAATTGTCATACCTTATTGTGCTGTGGTTTGTTTTGTTTTTTTTTAAATCCAGATTAAGTAAGAGCTAGAAAAAGCTGTTGATAAAGGAAACTTATAGGGAGTCACACGGAATACTTATGTTCAAGATTTTTTTAAAAAAAGAATGGAGAAGAGCATTAACAACAAAGCACAGAGCATATTAAAAACTGTGTGTGTGTGTTGCAAGACAAAAGGAACATATAAAAGATATGTTGCAAATATTCAGAGCCGGGAAATCCTGGTCCAAATGAAACAGCTAGGAGTTTTGCTGTTGATTTCAGTGTACTGTTTTTACACAGATTTTAAGGATGGAAGGGACCATTATAATAATCTAATCTGACCTCTTGCATTAAACCTATGTCTGCTTAAACTACAGCATATCTTCTAGCAAGTCATCCAATTCTGATTTAAAGACTTCAAGTGAGGGGAGACTCCACCATACTGGTAAATTGTTCCAATGGCTAAGTACCCAATTTAAAAATTGGCACCTTGCTTGAATTTTTTTAGCTTCAGCTTCTAGCCATTGGATCTTGTTATGCCTGTCTGTTAAGAAGCCTCTACTATCAGAAATCTGCTCACCATGTAGGCACATGACCAATTGTGTGCAAAATTTGGTTTTCTAGAATAATATGGTGCAACAGATTATCAGCGTGACTGCACATAATTTAAATTTGGAACATAAACTTTCAAACACCAAAAAATGGAGAAAAATGTGTGAGTATGGCTAGCCCTTTCTCCTCTTCTATTTAATTTTTAAAAGACTACAGCTGTTACAATAAAAGTATTGTGTTGGGGGGGTGGGAGGGGAGACGGTTGAAGACATTGAGTTAATATATACTGGGTTTTTTTTTCTGGTTATAGGTATGACTTTACCCAATATAGCTCAGTGTACCTTGCTGATAGTCAAATCCAATAACAGAAAGTGCAACTGCACTTGGTAATAAAGTGGACATACCCTTTGAAAGAAAATGTGCTGGTTTTTCTTCTATAAGCACCTGGCAGAGATGAGATTTGTGAGTCTACCCTAGTGAGTTATTCATGGAGCACTTGAAACGTACACTGCTTCTCCCACCTCCTTAAGTGTCTTGCTATGATCAGAAGTATCATGGGGGTAAAGTTTTTTAAACTAGAGACCACCAGGCTTCAACTCTAGCACTACCTCTGGATTAAAGTGAAAACCCCTCTCTTCCCCCTCAGCTTCCAGCTTAGCTAAAGGTCGACTTTACTCTTGAATAAACGTCCCTCGTTTGCTAGCCCCTGAGGTCACAGTCGCAGTCTTCCCGCATTTATCCGCTCCGCGAGCCCTGCCTTTTGCTTTGTCTTAAGTGAAGTGCGGCTGTTTAGGCCTGTTGTCTTTACGATAGCGGCGTATGCAAGTCCTCACGGCATAAAAGCTTTACGCGGTGTAATCTTTGTTATGAGGTACCTTCCCCCGCAGCCCAGGGCGCTGGAGTCGCAAGAGTTAAAGGGAGGTGCTTGGGGAAGGGGATGCTAATGAAGTCTAAGGAATGTTCTACATTAACATTCTTCCAGGCTTGCAGAGGAGGTCAGGCCCCACGACTGGGGAAGGAAACTCCCTCCGCTCCCTGCCTGGCCCTTGCAAGCCGCCCAGCTCCAGAGAGCGTGGCCTTCTCAAGTGCAGCTCCGCGCCGTCTCTTAGGTAGAGCAGCTGGCTACTCCCGGGCCCATGGAACCAGCCAAGCCCCACTTTGGAAGGAGTTTGCCCAGGGTTTGACACAGGCGCGGGGACGCACAGAAAGTCGGAAGGAGTGGGGAAGGAAGCTGCAGCTCGCTGCAGCCCGGGGGGTGGGTGGGTGTGCGCGCAGAGACCCCCGGCTCTGGAAGAACCCTTTAGGGTGCCTGTGTGAGCCTACCGAGCTAGGAGGTCCCGGGGGCATGTGCACTCTGCAAGTGGGGCGTGCCTGCTGCAAAGCAAAACAGTGCTGGCCACGGAGCCTGGGCGCCGAGTGAGCAGAGTGGGGTACAGGCACTGGGAGCCCCTGCGCGGGGCTGGGGCGGCTGCTCCCCCTGACCGCTCGCTGTCTCGCTCTTTCTCTTGCAGATGCGGCTGGAGATGCTGCGCTGGGCTCGCTCCTGCTGCTGGCTGGGGGTTTGCCTCTCGCTGCTGGCGGGAGCGGGAGGAGGCAGCGGCGCTGGAGGCTGCCGGGGCGCCCTGTGCGGCGATAGAGATCCGCCCCGACAGCAGTGCCTGGGGCCCCGCTGCTCGGGCAGAGCCAGCCGCCCGTCCCGCTCCTTCCCCCACACCGTCCGCGGCAAGCAGGCGCCGAGCGCCCAGCACGCTGCCCCTCTCCCCGCCGTCCCCGCCAGGAGCGCGGCCGAGCTCAGCCCGGAGCTCCCTGCCCCGGCCGCTAGGGGCGCTGGGGAGAGCTGCCCGGGAGGGGACTGCGCCGCCCGGACCCCCAACGGCACCAGCCGGGACTGCAAGGGCGTTGAATGCAAACTGCCCCTGCGGCTCCGCCACAAGTCGCGGCCGGGCAGCAGGGCTCAGTGCGCCCAGCAGGGAGAGGCCTGCCCGGAGCCCGCCCGGCTGCTCCGAGAGGCGGAGCGAGCCGCCCAGTTCCTCGCGGAAGACTTCGCCTACCCGGCCTCGGAGCTGGGCGTGCAGCTCACCTGCGACCTCAAACCAGGTGGGTGCTGGCTTCAGAGCGAGGCAGGCAGGGTTTGAGCTGGGAGAGCTAGCCCCCACCCCAGGGATGTGTGTACTGTGCGCTGGCCCCTGCTGCCCCCATGCTGAGGAGGCTGGGAGTGCCACCAGTACAGTGACTTGGCCCGGAGAAACCAGGGGCCTACATAGGGTAGGGCCATGAGCCCAGCCCAAGTGCCTGTCTCCAACACCCAGCGTTTGGCACCCTGCCTCTCCGCTAGCCAAGATCCAAGCGTAGCATTTTCTTAAGTGCCCCTCAGGATTGGAGGTGCCAGACATGAGACACCTAGGGCCTGAATTTCAGAGGTGCTGGGTGCCCACAGCCCCACCTGGGGTCAATAGGGAGCTGAAGGTCCTCAGCACCTCTGGAATTGAGGCCCAAAGTGTGCTGAGCTGGATGCCCCAAACTCATGGCCACTTTTGAAAATTTGGGCCCAAATTTGTGGCCCTAGTCTTTCCAAGCAGGGCAAGAACTATGTCGTCTTCTCCCCTCCCCACACTCAAATGAGGGAAGCAACAAAGGAGCAGAAGAGGAAGCCTGGCAAAATAAGAGATCAATTATTTTTTACAAAGTGAAAACATTTTCTATTTAGCTTCGCAATCTGTTATTTCTGATGTCTGTAATTTCTAGCAAAGCCAAAGAAGGTTTGAGTGGGATGAAAATACATCTGCATCCAGAAGGAATGACTTGGTAATCAGGCACAGTTAGTGTTGCCCACCAGAATCCTACAGACATTGACAAACTCACTAATAATAATTGATAACTCATTTACAGAGTGCAAGGATTCCAGAGCACTTTACAGCTATATCATTTAAAACACCATCATGGAAAGTCAGACACTTCTAGGGTGGAATTTGTCAAATTTTTAATACCTTAGTATGAAGGTATGCTATGTCCAATTGAAACTGCAGGGAGGGCACAAAGGGTCAAAATTATGTTTCTCAGGATAAAGGCAAAGGGCTTGATTCTTCATTCTCACTGGTATAAAATCAAGAGCAACTCCACTTAAGTAATTTGACTCGCACTGCTGTAAAACCACAGTAAGTGAGAGGAAAATGTGCCCTGGAGGGTTTCTCAGGACCCATTTATACCAGCTAAGTGCATAAACAGTAACGTTTGTTGTGGATTTTTCAGCAAAATCTTCCGGTTCATTGAAACATTCCTGCTAGTAGTTCCACTATCAGTTTCAATTAAATATTGTCAGGTCCAGGATGGCATTTCTGGTCACACCCAGGGAGACAGCCTCCTACCTCAGAATAATAAAGTGATTAGGCTACTCATCAGGGATAGCCAGATTCAAGTTTCTGCTCTTTCTAAGAGCTCCTGGGCTATAAAATTCACTCCCTCAGTCAGATCTTGATGAACTGCCAGGCTTGACTTTTAGGGCAGGGTTATCAACCTTTTTCTTTCTGCCCCCCCCCCCCCAACGTGCTATAAAAATTCTGTGGCCCACCTGTGCCACAACAATTGTTTTTCAGTTGATTATAAGCCAGGGCCGGTATTGGGAGGTAACAGAGCAATTGGTCAGGATCCCATGCCACAGGGGCCCCCACAAAGCTAAGTTGCTATGGGCTTTGGCTTCAGTCCCGAGCACTGGGGCTTGGAATTTGGCTTTCTGCCCTGGGCCCCAGTTAGTCTAACGCTGACTCTGCTCTCTGGTTTATGTTGGTGGACACCCTGAAACCTGGTTGTGTCCCCCCAGGGATCCCTGGACCCCTGGCTCAGAACCGCTGTTTTAGGGCACATTTTTGCTGAAGCATTTGTTTGGACTATGAATCATCTTTGGGGAGGTTTGGTCGGTTGGAGTGTTACAGAGTGTGTGTGAGGAGATTATTTGGGCTAACACGGGCAGTTTAAGATGTTTTTAATACCCTTTGGTCCTCTATAATTTTGTTAACCGCTTGAGCATATTGGAAAAACCAGGCCTCCTTCCCTGGACATTGGTGAAGACAGTAGGCTGAGGGATGAAGGGATATGATAGGTTTAATGTGAGGATTATAGTGATGGGTAGATTTTATATGTGCTGTACAAAAAGAGAACAAAAAGATGGTCTCTACCCCACAGAGCTTACAATCTAAGTATAAGTCGAGACAACAGAGACAGATTAGGGAATACAAAGAAACAATGAGACAGTATTGGTCAGCAAGATAGGCTGTGGTCTCAGCATGCTAGCTGCGTAATTGTTCTTAAGAGTTTTGTGTGCATGTAAAGCACCTTGAGACTTGGAAGATTGCTGGAAAAATGATTGATATATGCCTGGTGATGAGGGAATAAAATAATTAAATATAAGAAAGTCTTGTAACCATAAATAAAGTCCAGCCACTGCCTCTTGCAGTGTTGTACACTTGATGTTCCCAGGTAATGTTAACACAATTCCATACTGTACCTGTCCATGTAGAGTAGCGCTCTGCATGGTGATGATAAAGTCCTTCCTGCCCCTCAGTGGTGGTGAACTGATGTCCTGAAGGCTTGATTTCCCCCCTACTTTAGCATGCATGGCTATTAATGTTGTTCGTGAAACTGACCAGCCTTGTTATATTGAATTAAAGCAGTGCACATATTAATCAATATAGGAATTGGTCCTGCACTCATGCCTTGCATTCAGTGGGACTACTTGTATAAAGTTACTTGTGTGTGAGTGTATTTGGGATCAGGCCCATAGTTTTTGAGTATGGAGTATTGAAAGAAGATATTGATAGAAGTTTTGTATTTTTAATAAATACATAAAACATAGATTAGTAAAATTCTACTATTAGACATGAAGGGCTAGAGAGTGTGTGGATTATTGCTTTAGAAAATGTTACTTATTTTTTCTATTGTTAATATAAATCAGGGCTGTCAATTAATAGCAGTAAACTCACGCGATTAACTCAAATGTAATCACGATTAAAAAAATTAATCACGAGTAATCGTACTTTTAATTGCACTGTTAATATAGTACCAATTGAAATGTATTAAATATTTTTGGATGTTTTTCTACATTTTCAAATATTTCAATTACAGCATAGAATACAAAGTGTACAGTGCTCACTTTATATTTTTTATTACAAATATTTACACTGTAAAAATAATAAAACAAATAATATTTTTCAATTCACCTCATATAAGTACTGCAGTGCAATCTCTTTATTGTGAAAGTGCAACTTACAAATATAGGGTTTTTTGTTACATAACTGCACTCAAAAACCAAAACAATGTAAAAATGTAGAGCCTAAAAGTCCACTCAGTCCTACTTCTTGTTCAGCCAATCGCTAAGACAAACAAGTTTGTTTACATTTATGGGACATAATGCTGCCTGCTTCTTATTTACAATGTCACCTGAAAGGCATTCACACAGCACTTTTGTAGCTGGCATTGCAAGGTATTTATGTGCCAGATATGCTAAACATTCATATGCCCCTTCATGCTTCGGCCACCATTCCAGAGGACCTGCTTACGACGTTCATTTAAAAAAAAATGTGTTTAATTAAATTTGTGACTGAACTCCTTGGGGAAGAATTGTATGCCTCCTGCTCTGTTTTACCCACATTCTGCCATATATTTCATGTTATAGCAGCCTTGGATGATGTCCCAGTACATGTTGTTCGTATTAAGAACACTTTCACTGCAGATTTGCCAAATGCTAAGAAGGTACCAATGTGAGATTTCTAAAGATAACTACAGCACTCAAACCAAGGTTTAAGAACCTGAAGTGCCTTCCAAAATCTGAGAGGGACAAGGCATGGTGCATGCTTTCAGAAGTCTTAAAAGAGCAACACTGAGATGCGGAAACTACAGAACAGAACCACCAAAAAAGAAAATCATCCTTCTGCTGGTGGCATCTGACTCAGATGATGAAAATGAACATGTGTTGGTCCACACTGCTTTGGATCATTATCGAGCAGAACCCATCATCGGCATGGATGCATGTCCTCTGGAATGGTGGTTGAAGCATGAAGGGACATATGAATCTTTAGTGCATCTGGCACGTAAATATCTTGCAACGTCAACTACTACAACAGTGCCATGCAAACACCTGTTCTCAATTTCAGGTGACATTGTAAACAAGAAGCTGGCAGCATTATCTCCTGCAAATGTAAACAAATTTGTTTGAGCAGTTGACTGAACAAGAAAAGTAGGAGGACTGAATGGATTTGTAGGCTCTAAAGTTTCACATTTTATTTTTGAGTGCAGTTAGTTTTTGTACATAACTCTATATTTGTAAGATCAACTTTCATGATAAAGAGATTGCACTACATAATTTGCATTAGGTGAATTGAAAAATACGATTTCTTTTGGTTTTTACTATGCAAATATTTGTAATCCAAAATAAATATAAAGTGAGCACTGTACACTTTGTATTCTGTGTGGTAATTAAAATCAATATATGTGAAAATGTAGAAAAAATCCAAAAATATTTAAATAAATGATATTTTATTATTGTTTAACAGTGCGATTAATCGCAATTAATTTTTGAATTGCTTGACAGCCCTAATATAAATGTTTTAACTTCAGAGGGTAGTTTAAAAAAGAGTCCATTATCATTTGACTATGAAGATAAATCTAAAGAGGTTTTAATTTTTGCTTGTGCACACAAGCTTCAAGGTTCATATATTTAAGGACATAAAAACATAAGAACGGCCATACTGGGTCAGACCAAAGATGGCCCAGTATCCTGTCTTCTGACAGTGGCCAATGCCAGGTGCCCCAGAGGGAATGAACAGAACAGGTGATCATCAAGTGATCCATCCCCTGTCACCTATTCCTAGCTTCTGGTAAACAGAGGCTAGGGACACCATCCCTAAGGACTATTTATAGGAAAGATATGTGAGAAGGTTATTTCTTACATTTTAGATCTTCAGAGTAGGGGTGATATTTTATTAAATCACATTTAATTAAAAGAAAGGTCTGATGGAATTTTGAGGAGGTAGTTGAGGAGATAATATAATCTGGAAAATTTATTTTTTGCCAGGAAAAGTAATAGACTGTTTTGTATTTCAGGAGAAAATGAAGTTCCATCTGAAGATGCACTAATATTACAACTGCAGCTTGCAAAAGGCCAAGAGAAATTTGTTGAAATGTTAAAAAGCCAACAGAAGATAATTGTGGATTTGCAACAAAAACTTGCTGAACAACAGAGCACATTAATTAGCCAGCAACGAGAAATTCTTGAACAACAAAGAAAAATGTATGAGCAAATGGATCTGATAAAAGTCCAGTATGGCATGCTTTTTGACACAGTGAAACAAATGTCATTCCAGAGTTTGCATGAGGATATTCAACATTATTTTGAAGCTCAGCTTCAAGGACTTCAGAACCAGGTCCGAAATCATCTCCAAAAGTCATACTCTGTACATAAAGTAGAAGTTGATGCAAAAGTGATTAATGTTGGGGAGACTTTGCTGGACTGTGACCTTTGTGAAAGTGATGAGTTTTGCAATTTCCAAAAGACACCATCACGGTGTGAAAAATGCACCTTGTGTCCTGCTGGCTTTTTCCAAATGTCTGAATGTTCTGCAAACGCCGATCGGATTTGCCAGGTGAAATATTATTCTGTGTATTTTAATAAGTAGATCAAGCATTTTGTCAGGCTTATAGACGATACCATTCTGAGACTGAGGCTATTCAGAGAGTAAGGAAAGAGATCCTATTCTGTGTATAAGTTTTCTATGCCATGCCAAGTTTAGGATTCTTAGGTTCTCCTGTGTTAATAGTAATGTATTTGCTTAATGAATTGCGACTAAATACATTTCTTAGTCTCTAGTGCCAACAGCGAACTAGGTGTTTTGGAGACAGATGAAAACGAGGAACTTGTCCCAGAGAGCTTAAAATTTGAACAGCTATTGTACAAACATAGGAGGGGACACGAGAACAGTGATAAATATGCTTGGTTTTTGTTAGTTCCACATTTTATATAGGCATCTCTTTTCCAATAACTTACAGTATTGGGTTGTGGTTTATGGGCCTTAGGGAAATGTATTTTAAGGAGGGACTTGGAGAAGAGGGTGGAAACAGCAGGTCGCAGAGGTGGTTCCAGTCATATAAGCAGGCATGAAAAGTCCCAGAGTTGAGAACTGAAGAGAGACATGGGTTGGATTGTTAGACATGCAGCTTGGGCAGAGCTTAAGTGGGTGAGGAGGTCCGTGAAAGGAGACCAGGGCAGAGAGGTAAATAGGAGTCAGGTTACAAAGGGCTTTGAAGGCATGGAGAGAGTTTAAAGATAATGCAGCTGGTACAGGAAATGAAGGGAGGAAACTGAGAAGTGGCTGGACACACTCAGTGCAAGGTACAGAGTAAATGACTGTAGTGGCAGCATTCTGGACATGTTGAAAGGGTGGTGTGATGGATGTCCGGATGGCCAGAGAGAAGGAGGTTGCCATAATCAAGACAAGAAATAATCAGAGCTCAGACAACAGTTTTGGTGGGGGTTGGGAGGAGTGAGAGGGATGGGTGAGTTCTGGAGAAATGACATGATTCAGTGAGACCATCAATGTGAGGAAAGAGGAGGGAAAGAAGATGGAAAAATGACACTGTTTGAGGACCTGAGGGATGGGAAGATGTTGGAAATTCAGACTGACTGAGATTGGGGAATAGCATAGAGGAGAGGGAGGCTAGTGGGGGAAGATGGAGCAAAGTGTGTCGGAAGTTGGAGGCTGACGGCTCAGAGAACACAGAAGGAATGTGAGACAGAGCAGGGAATTGGGGGAGAGGAGGATACTGTCAGAGAGAATTTGGAAAGTGCCAGGTCAGAGAGGGAGAGCAGTTCTGAGTAAAGATCAGGTCAGGAGAGTGATTGTGGATCAGTGGAAGCCAACTGATTAATGCTAATACAGTTACATAAAAATGACTGACACACATGTCAGCATCCTCAGAAGTTTATTTTACAAAATTATTAAAACCAGTACAGTTAAGTGGCTGTCAATTTACAAACCTGACGTGATTTAACTGGATGCTTTATATAATTGAACTATAAAATGTTTTTCATTTGGCCTTCCAAGTAAGTGTTTTCCTGTTTTAAAGCTTTCATATTAGCCATTTCATTAAAAGTGAAATTAATAAGATTCTTGTGATTTGTAGGACAGAGATGAATGCTTTGAATCTCCCAACATTTGTGGTGAGAGAATAAAATGCCTGAATACTCCAGGTAAGTTCCTACCTTTCTGTGGCTAAACACATCTTCAGTGAAAGAACAAAAAGGCAATGAAGAGCACTGTCCTGCTAGGTGCTGAGCCCTGAAGTGCTTAGGATGCTGGAATCAATGAAAATCAAAGGCACCTGGCACAGAGAGGTAGGCTGTAAGAATGAAAACTAATCTTAGGAGGCGAATGGGCTGCTTCAGGCATAACACTCTTCACAGCCTCTGGTGCTGTCCTTACTTCTGTTTGGCTTTTTAATTGCCATACTGCCTTTGGGCCTGACGCTCCTCTCACTTCCACTGGTGTAAATTAGGAGTAACAACATTAGAATCAATGGCATTACCCCTGGTGGCCAACTGCCCTGGAAGGATAGTCGAGTCATTTATCTCTTGCAGTTGCTTCTTTTTTTTTTTTTTTTTTAAACTAATATATGTACTTATATAGCTTTCCCCCCTTGCAGTATCTGAAGCGCCTTGTAGCAATAGTATTGTCTAGTATTGAGACGTGAAGCCCCAGTTTTCACCTCCAGTTTCTTTGGTGCCTTCGATAATGCCATCCTAAGTGACTCCAAACCACTAGTTCTGTTAACCTTCTCCACCCCAGCTTTGGCCTGACACCTACCTTAGGTGGCCCCTTCCCAATCAACGTGGCAGTCCGGCCCACAAGTATGGAGTCAACAGACGCAGTGAGCATGCTAAATCAACAAGGACTGTTCTTTTTTGCCTGTCAGTTAGCCAGGCAAGAATTGAAAGGAACTACATGGCCAGCATTCACTGGTTATGAACTCTGCGATTGGACTGTCAGTCAAGGAGATGAGAAGAGTCCTTCAGGTTAAAGACTGTCCTTTCTCTGTCACTCCCACTGCCTTCCCACCCAAACCCCATAGCAATGGGGGCAAAAGGAAGGGAACACTGCAATGTAATGATGGCCCATACAAAGGTGAAGGGGGTCAACAATCTCCATCCTCTGTAAATCACCCCATTTCATCTACGGGGGAGGGAGAGTTCCCTTCTCCCAATAACTTAATTGTTTTAATTGTTAAGGAAGATTGCTATTTTCAGGACCTGTTGCCTGTTTGTTTAAGACAATCCCTTAGTTTACACAAGCCCAATGTACTTCTTCGTAGGGACATTGAAATCAGATTCTGCTTTGGGAAGGAAAAGCAGAGAGGAATTAGGTCTGACACATGAGGTCGAGAACTGGATGTGGAGCCTCCATGGAACTACACAGAGGTGGTTCCGGCTTCCCCAACTCCTGTGGACTGCACAGCTTTGGTCTGAGGGGAAAAAGAGAGCAAGTCAGGATAGAGTTGCATGAAACGAGGAGCCTTCTATTGTCCATTGCTCTGACCCACTCTCTGAGGAGCTCTGCTAGAGACTGGATTGTAAAAAGGTGGCTGCTGCTGAGTGGGGGTGTGCTTTCTGCAGCGAGCAGCCCTGATCTCTCAGTAGATCAGTCTGCGCTATGTGTCTATGCGCCTAGAGGACTTGCATGGCCTGATGCTGTAGAGATTTTCTACAGAGCAAAATATAAAGAGCTCCCTGGAATTAATGCTTATTCTTTAATTCAGGAAATATCTCAAAAGAGGTGTGTATGCATGTGATGGGGCGGGGGGAGCTCAAAGAAGAATCAGAGGTAGATTAGCTTGATACAGAACTAATCTTTCTTCTTAGACGATCCAGCCTTGATCTAAGGGTTAGTCATGCGGTGTGCAGATTTGAAGGCTCATCAGTGAACCGAGAAGAACAGTAGACATCCTTCCTCACCCTGCCCACAAAAAAACTGTGTAAAGCTAGAGTCTAAAAACTTGCTTAAATATATATTAAAATATTTTTTAAGAAGCAAACTACATTTCAGAAAAAAATCCTTTTCTACAATATAAACCAGTTTTAGAAGGGATGAATGTACAGTAACTCCTCACTTAAAGTCGTCCTGGTTAACGTTGTTATGTTGCTGATCTATTAGAGAACATGCTCGATTCAAGTTGTGCAGTGCTCCTTTAGAACGTTGTTTGACAGCAGCCTGCTTTGTCCATTGCTTGCAGAAAGAACAGCCCGTTGGAGCTAGCTGATGGGGGCTTGGAACCAGGGTGGACCGGCAGCCCCCCTATCAGCTCCCCTCTCCTCTAAGTTCCCTGTGCATAGCTGCCCAGCAGGCTATCAGTTGCCGGCAGTTCAGCTGTCCCTCCCCCCACTGCCACATGCTGCTTCTGCCCTCTGCCTTGCAGCTGCTCCCCGGAGACGACTCCTTGCTGTGCAGGGGGGTGGGGAGGAAGAGAGGTGCTAATGTCAGGGAGTCCCCCTCTACCCGCTCCTGTACCCCATCTCCACAGAGCAGGGAGGGACATGACAGTGCTCAGTAGGGAGAGAGCTTGCTGGCAGCAGCTGCTGTCTCAGCTTGCCGATCTACTTAAAAAGGCAGTGTACTTAGAGTGGGGTCACCGTACTTAAAGGGGCAATGCGCATCTCTCTCTCTCTCTCATACACGGTGTGTGTCTCTGTCTCTCTCTGCCATGCTGTCTCCCCTCCCTCCATTCATATTGCCTTGTAGAGTGTGTGGCTACATTAACAACAATGTATTAACCCTTGAGGGCTCAGCTGAGTGCTAGTTCATCATTTAGCAGTAAGGCATTCTTTGGGAAATATCCCACCCTCGGATTCCACCACCTCAACCAAGCTTCACAATCATCACTGCTGTGTACAGTATTACATTGTTTGTTTAAAACTCATAGTGTGTGTGTGTATATATATGTGTATATATATATATGAGAGGTCTTTCGTCTTGCGAAAAAAAATTTCCCTGGAACCTCCCCCCCCACTAATTCTTATGGGGAAATTGGATTCACTCAACATCGTTTCGCTAAAAGTAGCATTTTTCGGGAACATAACTACAACATTAAGCAAGGAGTTACTGTATTCAATAGCAATACATTTTATTATTTTAAATGTTAAGTTAGAGTATTAGTATGAGATTTAAAAGGTTGAAATTTTTCATTTGAACAACTTTGTTTCCAGTGAAAAATGGATGTTTTTCAAAATGAAAAGTTTTCATGGGAATTTTTTAATTACAAAAAACCCTAAAATGTTTGGTTTTCTAAAATCAAAAAATGGAGGGTTTTTTGTTTTGTTTTTCATTGAAAAAACAAAGTTTCTGTGGGGATTTTTTTTTTTTTTATAAGTTTTTCATTTGAATTTTTTTGTGGAAATTAGTTACCACTTCCCAACCAGCTCTCATAAGTACATACTGCCTTGCTCCACAGGAGATGTTACTTGTTCTCATAATCATGCAGTTATACAGCCCTACATTTCAGTGTTACTGAAAGGATAGAGAGCATATTAACAATTAGTCATTTTGGCACAAATATGTGTAGCTCCTTTATTTAGGGTGCTTCAAGTTTTTCCAAATGTAGACACCGGTGGCCTGATTTTCAAAGATGCTGGTCCCCCACAACTCCAGCTGAAGTCAATAGCAGCTGTGTGTGCTCAGTGCATCTGAAAATCAGGCCATAGCTCTCTAATGCTGGGCATCCAAAGGTAGAGGCCACTTTTCCATATTTGTCCTTCAGGATCATATTCTGTGAGCTACTTATTTGCCAGGTGAATAGGTGCACCCATGCAAAGTGGGCTTAAATTGGTCAGAGACACCTGGTGGAGAACTCTCTTTGTGCACGGAAACTCTCCACTTGTTAAAAGGGGCACTGTCACTTCTTGTATCAGCCAACCCCACAAACCTCTGCCTAAGAGGAAGGAGGGGCACATGTGGGGAAGGGATGTGGTGGAGCATCCCCTGTGCCTCATCCTCTACTGGTGTGCTGCATAAGAGCAGCCCTAACATGCACTGGGGTCTGGGATCCCTGCAGCTCCCCTTTCCCACTCTGTTTGGGTGCAGCGTGAATGCGGTGAGGTATCAAGGCTGTAGTATTTAACCCATTCTTGGAATAAAGGGTGCTCTGACAATATTGAATAACCTACTTTTGCTTTGTTAGTGTCAAATGGCTCAGAAGGTGTGCCTGTGACTAAAACTGCCTACTTCTACAAACAGGTGGCTTCCGATGCCTTGGAATTGCTGAAAAAGATGCAGCCTTGGGACTGTGTGGAGAGGAATATTTCTTTAATAAAGAAATGCAGGAATGCCAGGCTTGTTTAGAGTGTGAAGACGGAATAGTAGCTTTCCCTTGCTCCCCAGTCACTGACACTGTTTGTTCAGCAGACAGTGAGAACAAGCTTTCTGAATCATGGGCTGCAAACATTGTTTTACCCTCAGCAAAGTCTGGCACAGCTCAGGTCTACCCTGGTTTAAACTTGAAGATAAAGGGAAAGCTTCACTGTGAAGTCGTATCTGTTGAAGATAACAGCCTGGTATTCAGGCAACATGGTTTGATGTGGACTGACCTCAATTTTGCTGTAAAGCACAACTGCAGAAACTTTCTCCAGCTGTCCTTGAAATTAAATGACACTGAGGAAGGCTGCGAACTGAGTGGTGTTCGTATTGAACAACCAGAAGGAAAATATTTTCAGAGCACCAGTTTAAGCAGCGCGGCGGAGGTGGAACCAAGCCAAAGTCTCTCTCTGTTTCTGAAGAGTCCAAATCAATTCTGCAACCAAAGTAAAGACTTAAATATTTATGACCTTAATGCTCCACTCAGTTTGTTTTGGTTGTCCCATGATACAGGTGCGGTGGCTATGAGTGCACAGATGTCAACTGCAATGCACTACCAAACTAACTATCGACCTACTTTTAAAGTTATTTCTGTTTCTGACCCTTACATGTTAAGTTTATCTCACGATGGCAGAGCTATAAAGTTCACTGAAATGGGTGTCATAAAATTTGTTTTTCACCAAGCACTCTATTCCATGGGCCATACATGTGTTCGTGAAGGCTTTTCCTTGGTCTCTTATATCAATAGGAATGGTACTAACCGAGAATTAATGAACATGTATAAATCTGGTGTAAATTACAGAGACACATCAATATCTGCTTCTGGGGCCACAAAAGTCAACAGTGGGGATCTTCTTAGCTTTGAGATCCTTTCTCCAGCTCAATGTAATGTTCGATATTTTGGAGACAGCTCTGGAATTAGTATGCTTAGCCTCATCTGGATCCCATCTGCAGTTTCCACTGCCATCTCAGCCACAGTCTCTGTTACACGACTGCCTACAGGAGCTGTCAGAAACAAATTACTGGATTTCGCCCAGGTCTCAACCAGTGAGAAACAGATACAGCTTGTTTCTTCTGGGGAACTTGCTCAGAAGTACTTCAGATTTGCTGAAAGGGGAGTTGCCAGCATTGCTTTTAATTTAAAGCTGATCCACTCATGTAATGTACTCAAAGTGACTCTAAATCATCTGATCAGTGATCAGATGCAACCCACAGCAGTTGGCCAGCAAATTGGAGGTCAGATGCCTGAGGGAAGTATGTGGACTAGTGTGTCCCTCCGCTCTTCTTTCGAGGTGCATAATGGCACATTGATATCCATTTCTCTTGACTGTGTGCGTGGAAGAATCAATCAGATTGCTCATGAACATAGCACCAGCATATCTATTTTATGGATTTCATCTTAATTACTTTGGATTGAAGTAAGCCTGAATGGACAGTTGCAATGGGTTTTGAATTTTGTCATACTACATATGTTCAGTACCCTAGATTATGTGTACAGAACATCACATTAAAATATTCTTACCACGAGGAATATTTTAAAAATAATCTTTGGTTGGATTATCATCTAAAGAAAAGTAATGTTTCTGATTTTCCAAAGGGATTGCTTTGTTAACATCTCAGATCATAGAGTTGGGAGTCCAGCTCAGGCTCTACTTCTTACATTCTCTTGAACTCAGATTTTGCAGGACCTACAATAATATGAGGGGAAGGTAAACAGAATAAATGCTATTTTTAAAAAAAGTATTGAAATTGGCAACAGCAAAGACACCCAAACAATGTAGGCCTGCTTTCAAATGCCATTATCCCTTACTACATATACTGGGTAATGCCAGGACTACATGCGCTTGCCTTAGGTAAGACAAACTCATCTTGTCAGGCTCTGACATAGCGGTGCTCCCTGTATATAGGCAAGGAGAAAGTGTGCTTCAGAGTAAAGACAAAAGGGTAACAGCTCAGCATTCATGCTTAGAATGTAAGAAAGAGGGTTGTTCAACAAATATAATGTAATTGTCACCCTGCTCCCCAATCCACCCCCCAAAAAGAATTGTAAGGTAAACGACAATTTTAGTGTTATTTATAATGGGGGAAATTATGGTTTTAAGTGGTTTTTTTGGGGGGGAAGGGGTGTTTCCTTCCACTTTCTTTCTCTTTTTTTTTTTTTTTTAAAAAAAGCTTTTTTTCACCAAAAAAAGGTGTGTGGAGGGAACAAAAAAGTGAGAGGAAGCAGGGGAAACACCTCCCGCAAAAAAACTTCTTAAAACCCCCAGATCAACAACAACAAAAATCTCAGAAGAAACAAAATGAAACTTTCTGAAATGTTTGTACCACAATGATTTGTTGAGAGAATGATTAAAAAAAAAAATTGGCTAAAAAAACCCATTTTAATCAAAAATGTATCTTTTTGGTGAAAATGTTCAGTCAGCTCTAATAAGAAAATGTAATTAATATCATTGACTTTTGTTTGCTCTTTTTCTAGGCCTTCCATCAAACTTTTTTCCTTCTGGTCTTCTTTCCTACTATATCAACACTCTCTCATTTTCTCCACTCTTCTTTCGCTCCTTCTTGCCTCTTTCTCATTTCCTTTATTAGGACCAAATTCTGGCTCATGTGGGAAAAGTGGCATAGATAATCCACATGGGATGATGGGAAAATTGGCATTAATAATGCACCTGGAGGCTACCTCAGTCTAGTCTAATATGCAGGTACCTGGGGCATTCTTCCCCTGTTCAGACCGCTAACTGTGTGTGTGTGATGCTATGCTATGCATGAGATAAACACTTATGCACACACCTGAGCTAAGCTTATATATGTAGACCCACGTTCTTCCTTATGGCTTCACTATGTCTGGGATATCAGTAGGGCCCTACCAAATTCATTGGCCAGGAAAAAAGGATCACGGACTGTGAAATCTGGTCTTGTGTGTGCATTTTACCCTATACTATACAAATGCTGGGGGAGACCAGCATTTCTCAAATTGGGGGTCCTGACCAATTAGCAGTGCAAACCACATTGGGTAAAATTCCGACTCCATTGTTTACATGTTACCAAAAAGCACACTAGAGGGGTGTGATGTGTAGAGCACTCTAAGGCTTTGTCTAACTGGCAAGTGAAAGACACAACTTTTGTCGTTCAGAGGTATTAAAAAAACACCCCCTGGAAGATAAACGTTTTGTCAACAACAAGCGCCGATGTGAACAGTGCTTTGTCAGCAGGAGTGCTGTCCTGCCGATAGTAACGCTGCTCTTTGGGGGTGGAAGTTTTTTGTCGGCAGGAGAGCTCTCTCCTACTGACAAACAGCAGCTACACTGCTCACCTTTTAGCAGCATGGATATAGCGGCACAGCTGTGTCGCTAAAAGCTGCATAGTGTAGACATAGTCGAACATGTTGCATTCTTACTGCACTGTGTAGACCCTGCCAGTGCACTCTAAAAGGTTACTACTTTGGATTAACATTGTTTTGTTTCAGACTATGTTAATGTGAACTAGATACCTTGTAGTGCACGCTAACAGGGTCTACATGGGGCGGTTAGAATATGCCATGTTTGAGCTCTCTACAGGTCACATCCCTCTAATGTGCTTTGCTGCACCATGTAGACAAACCCAAAGGCAAAACTCTCACTGATTTTCAGTGAGGCCAGTATTTCACCAACTCTGACTAGAAGTTTAGTAGGGATTAATAAACTCCAGTACTGCAGAAGTAAAACTTTATCCCAGACTGAGAGTTCTCAACACTTGGAAAATATTTTTGTGGCTGTAGAGAACATTTAGTATGAAAAAACAAGAACTCTTGGAATTAGAGCATTTGTCTTGAACGGATTTATACAGAGGAGCCCTTTCACTTGAGAGCAGTAGCATTTCTAGTAGCCTAGTTAGACTGGGCAAACGAACAAGTCAGTAAGCTTAATTCCTAAGAGACTACCCAGTAAAGCAAACTATTCAAATAATTTTTAACTGGTTTAATGTGTTTAAAGTAAAGCAGATTGCAAAAAGCTGGCAGTTTTTGCCTAAAATACTCCACCCTGTTAGCAGGTGTTGATTTTTAGTGGAAAAAAGGTGGAATGGGTTCTACTGCCTCACAGAGGGAGGCTTGTTACTTCACAAGGATATATGGGAGGTACAAGTGGATCTTTAGAGAGCCACTGTGGGCTGAGCAGCCCTGAGGTAGGACCTCTAGGAGCAGGCAAATTTGGAGAGAAGGCTTGTGCTGAGCTTTGTCTTATTGCTAGGGCTCTACCAAATTCATGGTCCATTTTGGTCAATTTCACGGTCCTAGGATTTTAAAAATCACGCATTTCATTATTTCAGCTATTTAAATCTGAAATTTCATGGTGTTGTAATTGTAGGGATCCTGATTCAAAAAGAAGTTCTGGGGGGAGGTCACAAGGTTATTGACGGGGAGGGGGGGGAGTTGCAGTACAGCGACCCTTATTTCTGTGCTGCTGCTGGAGCAGCCCTGCCTTCAGAGCTGGGCAGCTGGAGAGCGGCAGCTGCTGGCCAGGAGCCCGGCTCTGAAGGCAGCAGTGCCGCCGCCTGCAGCAGCACAGAAGTAAGGGTGACATGGTGTGGTATTGTTACCCTTACTTCTGCACTGCTGCTGGTGGGGCGCTGCCTTCAGAGCCGGGCACCTGGCCAGCAGCTGCTGCTCTCCGGCTGCCCAGCTCTGAAGGCAGCACAGAAGTAAGGGTGGCCATATCATGACCAACCTAAAATAACCTTGCAACCCCCCTGCAACTCCCTTCTGGGTCAAGCCCCAGTTTGAGAAACGCTGGTCTCCCTGTGAAATATGTATAGCATAGGGTAAAAAGCACATAAAAGACCAGATTTCATGGTCCCTGATGCGTTTTTCTTCGCTGTGAATTTGGTAGGGCCCTAGTTACTGGTGATTTCTTTGTTAATAAAGCAAAACCCCAGGAAGCAGCTGAGTCTTTGACTCAGCATAGTATAGGCAGGTTAGGAAAGGCACCTGCTCCCACAGGTATAATGGCCTTGTTTTTTCTTCAGTGTTTTCCTGTCTGAAGTTATATTGTGGACAGGAGGCCACATTCTGTACTGTCACCCCAGATTTATACTGATGTAACTACAAGTTAGTAGAGTCACTCCAAATTTAAACCTGTCTAACTGAGATCAGAATCTGACCCCGTGTCCCCAGAGTAAAACACAGGAATTATCATGATATAATCAACATGGTGTCATTTGCCTAGATGCAGTCCAGCTCAGTTTGACTATACTGTATTTGGGTGGGATTACAATATTTATGGAATTGCTTGTGTGTCCTAATATGAATATATTCAGTGAAATTTTTTATAACACAGATCATGTACATGCTGTAATTGCTTGCTTTGTGTGTTTTATGCATTGGTTAGAAATGCCACTAGGCAGGTACCAGTGAGTATTATAAATATTAAGGCTAAGAAAAAGCTTTTAGAGTAGAGGTGCTTCACTACACTATGCTCCTGATTCTGCATTCCTAGCACCCCCAAAATTTCAAGTCAAAGACAGTTTTGGATGCCCTATGGCCGGAATGCAAGGTCTGGCTCCTAAGTGGTTAAACTAAACATTGCAAATACTGCTTGTCTTTCACAACTTATCTCAAAGGATGCAGGCAGATTAGGACAAATCACTTTCTCTCCAAATACTTCTTTAACAATAGTTTACAGCAGACTTCACTTTCAAGTGGGTTGTAGCCAATTGTTTCCTTGCCCTCCTCACTAAAAATACCCAGCATCTATATTTCAGTCCAGATTTTGCCTTTGGTTACACGAAGGTAAGTCTGGAATAACTGGGAATCACGCTTGATTTACACCAGTGTAACTAAGAGCAGACCGTGGGCCTCCACATTTTTATATGTGCTCTGAAACCAGTACTGTGTACTATAGGATACGATCACCAACAGTGCACTGTAATCCTACACCAAATATTATTCAAAAGGAATCGGGCACAGTGAAAATGAATGTTATACCCAGAATATAACCAAATTGCATATTTTCCTTATAATTGGTTTATTTTATCTACTTTTGTTGACAATTCGTGAACTCCTTTAGTCAAATCAATTTAAAGTTAACTCTTTCTGATATCAGAATACTGTATATTGGATACTTCAAGTGCAAAATCCATTTATAAACAACATTTTGCTCCAGTACCATGGACATGAGCATGGTATAAATACATCTCCAGTCCTTGCTCACACAGTGGTATTTTTCTCTGTGAGTAGTTCCAATGCAGATAATTGCAAAGTAAGGTACTGCGCAGTATGAACAAGGGTGGCAGAATCTGGCCAATACTGGTAGAGATGGATAAACGGAACCTATTCTAATGCATATATGCAGTCCTGTAGGTTACTACATTACAATATGTGTGTAACATGCAGTAGTTCATTGAAATAAACTTGTCCATTACAGAAGGGAAATACTTTAGACTTTCTAATGCTGCTTATACAAAGGAAAGATAACTTGGTTTATAACGGACTGCCATTCCTGTATAACAGGGGTGGGCAAACTTTTTGGCCTGAGGGGCACATCAGGGTTCCAAAACTGTATGGAGGGCCGGGTAGGGAAGGCTGTGCCTCCCCAAACAGCCTGGCCCCTGCCCCCTGTCCGCCCCCTCTCTCTTCCCATCTCCTGACTGCCCCCCTCAAAACCACCGACCCATCCAACCCCCTTCAACTCCTTGCCCCTGACCACCCCGTCCTGGGACATTCTGCTTCAATGTGTGTTCTAAACATTTTGCAACTGTAAACATTTTATCTGAATATATTTTATTAATTTTACAAAGTTTTTATATTTCTATAGTGTCAAACCTGGAGGGATAGCTTAAGTATATTTTAATTTAATATTGTGTTTTTATGCTTTCTGTTGGTGTTTATGTAGAATACATTACATTATGAAAACTATATTAGTTTATGGTATTTTTTATCAGGTATCATGTTTCCAAATATTACCTTGATTTAAAAATATTGTTTATATTTTAAGAAAATTTAACACAAATAAAACATACTGACTTGAATGTTGATTAATGCCCTATTACCATGATGGGGTGAAATCCTAGTTTCACTGAAGTCAATTGATGTTTTACCATTGTGTCATCATTGCTTGCCTATGATGTTTAAATTGTGTTAGGCCTGTATTTCTAGGGGCCGTCAGAGTTTTGGGTTTTTTGCACTCTTGCAAATTTAGTTATCTGAATAGTTAAAAACTTGTAATTGATGTTATCAAGCTGATAAATGCTTTTAATAAATTAAAGTTTTTTATTTTAATAATTGTTACCACAATATTAATTCAGAGAAGAAATAGGAGTATTTATCTGTATTTATAAGAATAGTTAGGGGCTTGATCCTGCAAGGTTCTGAATACTCTGGCACAGATCCAGTAAGGCACCTATGCAAGTGCTTAACTTTAAGCTAGTGACCAGTGCCAATGAAGTCAAAGGGGTGGGATCCCCAAAGGGACTTCAGCATTGCAAAGCTGAGTATTGCGGTACCTGACTTCTAGGATCCTAGAAAAATGACAGGAACAACACTGTGATCCATGAAACTTGTTAGATGCTTAGGCTCCCTGTACAATGAATGGGAAGAGAGAGGCACCTAAGAATGCAATCCACAAAAGCCAGCATGCTAGGCAGGGAGCCTCCTAAGTCAGCCAATAGGAGATGCGGAAGAGAGAGAGTGTACTAAGCTCCGTCCCTCTCTGATAGGCACCATCCTGTTACCTGGACTTAGGTGCCTCGCTCTGCTTAGCCATTTGTGAGCAGTAACCCACTGTACCTGCAATAGGCTGCTAAACCAGTTCTTGAGGGAACGAGTTAGATACCTGCCTCACTTAACACCAAAAGGGAAGGGAGGAGTTGGTGCCCATCTTCTAACTGTTAGCCTGGTGGTTAGAGCACTCACCTGGGATGTGGGGTTCTATTCCCCCCTCTCTGCTAGAGTGGGAGAAAGGATTTGAACAGGAGTCTTCCACTCCCAGGTGAGTGCTCTAACCCAGGGACTCTCAACCTTTCCAGACTACTGTACCCCTTTCAGGAGTCTGATTTGTCTTGCGTACCCCCAAGGTTCACCTCACTTAAAAACTGCTTGCTTACAAAATCAGACATAAAAATACAGAAGTGCCACAGCACACTATTACTGAAAAATTGCTGACTCTCTTTTTTTACCATATAATTATCAAATAAATCAATTGGAATATAAATATTGTACTTACATATCAGTGTATAGTATATAGAGCAGTATAAACAAGTCGTATGAAATATTAGTTTGTACTGACTTTGCTAGTGCTTTTCATGTAGTCTGTTGTAAAACTAGGTAGATATTTAGATGGGTTGATGTACCCCCTGAAAGACCTCTGTGTACTCCCAGGGGTACACGTACCCCTGGTTGAGAACCACTGCTCTAACCAGTGAGCTATGGCATATTTTGGTATGCGGTCTCCCTGAGTCTCTCCTGTTTGAAGTTGTTCCAGTTAGGATAAAAACTAAGTCATTGGAACAGCTTCAACAGGAGAGACTGAGGGAGACCCCATAGCTCACTGGTTAGAGCACTCTCCTGAGAGGTAGGATTTGAACAGGGGTCTCCCTTCTCTCAGAGCCTAAAACTTAGGCAGCTAAGAAACTGTTAAAGTGGAAAGTTGGGTGCTGAGGGAGTTTAGGCACCTACAGGGTTAGCAGCCAGGTGAGAGTTTCATGGATTGTAGCGGTGCTGTGCATGGGGGCTCAGGAGCCTAAGTTGCTTTGTGGATTGCACCCTAGGACTAGTTGTGTGTTGAAAGGTAAGTACATGATTAGAGTGCTTTGCTGGATCAGGGTCCGTGTGCCCAGAATGGTGCATGATTAAGCCCTAGGCGCCCTTGCCAAATATTTTTAAAGCACAAATGTATCTTTTGTTGAAACTATTAATTATGAGAGTTGGGTGAAAAAGGTAAAGATCTATCATGAAAGAAAAGGTAAAGTATATTTCAAACATTTTTCAAACATTCAAAAATATTTTTTCAGTTATCAAAAAATAAATGTTTGATCAAAATGATGGTTTTTGTCATGAAAATTTGTTTTGATCAAAAAAGCATTTTCCATTTAAAAACATAAAATTGAGATGGAAATTCTTCAGCCATTTGCATTACTTACATAGTACCCAAAAGTGTGCTAAACGCTTTAAAGATGCAGGTACTGTGATCCAGAGAATTTACAATCTGGAGCTCTAATCCTGCAAAGATTTATGCATTTGCTTAATTTTATAGGATCAGGGCCTAGATGCACAAAATTAAAATGAGAGGTAAAAGAGGGCCTTGTGAAATGTATGAAGAAGGTGAGCCAAGAAACTGAGCTGTTTGAGGAAAGTGATTGAATATACTTTGCAAACATACAGCTTCTTTAGGTGACTGCAGTTTATGTAGTTTTCCTAAGTCTTTCTTTTTTCTTTGGAATTTTGAATTCTTGTCTTAACTTAAAGAAACTAAACATAAGA